AGGGCTATGACAGGATCACTCGCCAGCCCATCCTTGAGCTCGATGTTTACATCGACGATCTTGGCCTCTCGTGCGTTGGTCCCCCCTCGAAGGTCATCTCCTCTGTGGTCAGCTGTGCGCAGCAGTTGAAGGGTGTGGTGGAAGAGGTTCTGGGTTGCAGCTTCGCCCTGGACAAGACCTGTATTGTTGCCTCGTCGCGTGCCGTTGGGGAGCAGGTGTCGTCCCAGTTGGCTGAGCTCTCGACCCAACCCTCGTCCTCTGCCGTCAACCTAGGTGTTGACTACACCGCTGGTCGCGCGCTCAGGGTCGGAGGTCGGTGTGCCAAGCTGAAGTCTAGGCTGGCGGCCGCCTGTAGGCGCACCAAGCGGCTCCGTAGACAGAATAAGGTGCTCAAGAGGGGCGCCATCATCAAGGTTTTTTCGGCTGGCCCCTTGGCCGGCGCCAGCTACGGGAGTGAGATCACGGGGACCTCCGACCATGACCTCCTCCTCCTCCGCAGGAAACTCTTCGGATCGGTTCGTCCTCTCTCGAAGCTTCGTTCGCTCACCACCTCGGCCATCCTCGATTCGGACCCTTGTTGGAGAACCGCGTGCTCTCCCATTGTTCGGTGGTCGAAGGAAGTCTGGCTGACTCAGGTGGGCGAGTTCCCCTGGGCGATCGGTCTCCCAGAGCTCAGACGAGCTTTGACGAACATTTTTAGCCAGGAAGCGTGTTCCTGGCGCAGTGTGGCTGGCCCCCTCTCTGCCCTGCGTATGTCTCTCTCTAGGATTGGTTGGGTGATGACGGATTTCATGACCATTAGAGACGACCGTGGCTTCGTCATCCCTCTTGGTCTGTTCTCCACTGCCCTTGTCAAAAAACTGTGCAAAGAGGCTTACTTGCGCATGTTGGAGAGAGACTCTGCGGCCAAACGAGGGGTTAAGCACAGGCTGTGTTATGACATTGTCAAAGAAGCTCTTGCCAGCAGCAAGTATAGTGCTCTCGAAAAGGGTAGGATCCGAGCTTTCGCCACCGAAGCCTTCCTCACTAAGGAGCGTGCGCTCCAGCTGGGCTACCAGACGGATGTTGAGTGCCAGTTCTGCGGAGAGCCTGACAATATTTTCCATAGGCTGTGGAAGTGTCAGGGGGAGTGTATCGTGGAAAAACGCAACGCCTTGGTCAAGGCTGGAGAAATCGAGGCCGCGCTCGAGGCTGAAGGCAGCGATAGGTCTGTTTTGCTCCCGTTCATCTCAGGGGCTTTCGCCCATCCCGCCGACTTCAGCCCGAAGCCCGCGACGGATGCTGATGATGGTCTTATGGTTGTGTGGCATGACACCGATCAGGTCTCCCCTGTAGGTGGCCCCCTAGACAGGCAGCTCTGGGGGTCCCTCTTTATAGACGGCTCGTGCACTCGGCACCCCATCCGTGAATTAAGTCGGGCCGCGTCCTGCGTGGCCATGGTTGACTCTGCTGGTAGGTGTGTTGCCGAATTCAGAGCCCCTGTCTGGGCGCCCTATCCTCAGACCCCTCAGAGTGCTGAGTTTTCGGCCTACACGTGGGCCCACATGCTCGGCATCCCAGGCCACGCTTCGGCCCTGTCTGATTGCCTCAATGTTGTTAAGATCGCTGACCTGCCTAAGGCGGTCCATCTCTCTGGTCAGCGCATGTACTCGGGGGCCTTCCTCCAGTGTTACTCCACCGCGTCCTCCCTCCTCCCCGTGGAGAAAGTTGCTGCTCATAGGGACCGAGATGAGCAAGGCATCTCCAGCGAAGAGAGATGGCGTAGGCAAGGCAACTACTGGGCCGATGTTGGAGCTAAGCATGCTATAGACTTGCATCCCAGCTCGGCCGAAGCCAATGATGTCACGGACAAATTAATAAAGGCGGCCCGCTGCACCCTGCGCCTCGCGGCCCGCCTCCTGCCTTTGTGGGACCCCATAGATTTGTCGGGTGTTGAATTGCTTAGGAAGCCCTCGGCTGCCTCAGCGCCTGTGCCACATGTCTGGAGACCCTGGGCTGGAGCGTGGAGGTGTGAAGTTTGTTTACGTGGCACTCGAGCCCTCGATGAGCCCCCTCCTGGTTCCTGCAGTGGTCGCAGTAAACTTGATGAGGGCCGTCTTTTGGCTCTGGAGCATCGTGTTTTAGCGTTTGACTGTTCAGACAGCAGCGTTCTTTTCATCTGTGTGCGTTGCCACTGTCACTCCTCGGGCCAGAGAGTTCGCGGTTTGTCTGTGAAATGTGTTGGCCGTCCGACCAAGACCACTCGGACGGGCTGGAACACGTTGTGCAAACGAGGCCTGCACCCCCAGTACAGCAAGAGGGAGGTCAGGGTCCACACAGGAAACATTATGAACCTGTTCAGCTCCGTGGACGGAGTCCTTGAGCCTGCCGAGGAGGAGGAGGAGGTCCCCGCTCCCTCGGTCGAGCCTCCCCCTCCCCCGTCCTCGGAGGCGGAGGAAACTCGCAGCAAGCACCAGGCCGTCCTGGCCCAGCGCCTGCTTGAGGCTGCCCGAACTGGCTCCTCTCGGCCCTCTTCGGGCTAGTCGGCTCTCCTGGCCACCTTTTTCGGCCCAGGTGTCTGCCGTGGCGAGTTTTTCCTCGCCTATTTCCTTTCTGCCTGCAGGGTCCGTGTCGGTTTTCGTCTGACACTTGGCCCTGCTGGCACACTTCTGTCCCTCTCCCCCCGCAGTAGAGGGCCAGGCAGAATGTTGCGGTGCAGAGCGTGGAACTCAAAAAAATTCTCCTCCTCCTCCTCCTCCTCCTCCTCCTCCTCCTCCTCCTGTCGTCCTCTGCGCGGCAGCGTCGTCGCCCTCCTCGCCTATTTCCTTTCTGCCTGCAGGGTCCGTGTCGGTTTTCGTCTGACACTTGGCCCTGCTGGCACACTTCTGTCCCTCTCCCCCCGCAGTAGAGGGCCAGGCAGAATGTTGCGGTGCAGAGCGTGGAACTCAAAAAAATTCTCCTCCTCCTCCTCCTCCTCCTCCTCCTCCTCCTCCTCCTGTCGTCCTCTGCGCGGCAGCGTCGTCGCCCTGCACGCGCCCGCCCGCCCGGGCGGCCAGGCGCGGCCACCCCAGAGGCCTGCCTGTCGGTCTGGGGGGGGGCGCGCAGGCCGCCCTCGGGGCTGCGGCTCGCTCGTCTCGTCCCCTCCCCCGCCGCCTCCCCCCCGGGCCTCCTCCTCTTCCTCCTCCTCCTCTGCTCCTCCTCCTCCCTCCTCCTCCTCTCCTCCTCCTCCTCCTCCTCCCCTCCCTCCCCCTCCCCCTCCCCCCCTCCTCCCCTTCATCCTCCTCCTCCTCCTCCTCCTCCTCCTCCTCCTCCTCCTCCTCCTCCTCCGCGCCGAGGGCCTCCCGAGCAGGCCGAGTTGCCGCCGAGCAGGCCGGGACCTCCAGGACGCTCCCGAGCGGCCGCCCTCTGCCCCGGATGGGCGAGGCTCCGAGGCTCTCGTGGGCGCCGGCTTCGGAAGCCTGGGGGCCCCTCGAGGCCTGAGCCAGAGGAGGAGGAGGAGGAGGAGGCTGAGGAGGAGGAGGAGGAGGAGGAGGAGGAGGAGGAGGAGGAGGGGGAGGGGGAGGGGGAGGAGGAGGGGGAGGAGGAGGAGGAGGAGGAGGAGGAGGACGAGGAGGAGGAGGACGAGGAGGAGGAGGAGGAGTACAGTCAACCCGCATAGTAAGGATGGGCAACCTTCCCACGGTTGCCTTTGCATCCTTGCCTCCTCGTTCCATCTTTCGCCGCTTTCGCTGGCCGCGCCCCGCTTGAAAAGCTTTCAAATTGGCGTCCAATGCTCTTGCATCCTTATCGCGCATCCTTACTATACTGGTTGACTGTAGCTGGGGTCGGAGGATCACGCCGCATCGCCGACGCATCGCCGATGCGGCTCGATGCGGAGCCCGATTTTTTCACGCTGGCATCGCCGATGCCTCGCCCACGTCGCCGATGCATCGCCAGTGCATCGCCGATGCGGCGCGATCCTCCGACCCCATCTATTTCGACCCTATCTAGGAGGCCTCTACCCTCGAGGCCTGAGCCAGGGAGAGGGGGTAAGAGTCGTTGCGTAGCATGCAGCCCCGATGCGACAAACCAGGCCTGCTTTGGCGCCCCTGGCGGTGGTCCATGCGGGCACAACAAGGGGCTCGGTCTTTGTTAGCAGTTCTCTGTCCAAGAACCGAGAAGGAATGCTCAACATGGCCACTTGTATTTTGTTTATCGGGGTCGAGCATCTTGCAACCACAGAGGGATCGGGGGGAGGGGTAGGAGGAGGAGGAGGAGCTTCCACCCCCTCAACCCTGATTACCTGCGAGCCCTCCGCCCCTGCCCCTCCCCCAGCCCGCCCCCAGCCCGCCCCCCTCCGCGGTGCTCCTCCGACGTAGTCCTTTTTCTGGCAGCGTGCAACCGCGATGGTCCTGACCCCTCCCCAGGGCCGGCTTGTCATCCCCAGTCGTGTCTTGACGGCCCTGGAGCCCGTGAACAGCCTCCAGAGTGCAGAAACGGCGTCAAAGGGGCCGCCACGATGTTTTTCGAGACGCCAGATGTCCTGGAGTCCTGGCATCGCTCGGACATGTGCATTTTTTTCGGCGAGAACCATCGAGGACCATCCTGGACCATCGAGCAAAAAAAAACACGCACGAAATCGAAAAATGCACAGGGAATGGACGTCCGAGCGATGGCAATGGAGTGGGTGGGAAGGGTTCGATGATCGGCCTGCCTGGCGAGAGTTGTCCTGAGGTGCGTCCAGGCCAGAAGATCGAGGCGGCTCCGACCGTGGTGACGAGGAGCCCCCCAAGACGCCCCCCAGAAAGGGCGAGCAAGCGCCCAGAAGCCTTCACCCCCGAGCCTCGAGCCTCTAAGGAGGAGAAGAAGGAGAGGTCAGGGTCACTCGTCCTCCTCCTCCTCCTCCTCCTCCCTCCTCCTCCTCCTCCTCCTCCTCCTCCTCCTCCTCCTCCTCCTCCTCCTCCTCCTCCTCCTCCTCCTCCTCCTCCTCCTCCCCCTCCTCCATCTCCCCGACGCGCGCGCGGCGGCGTGCACGGCTGCAGGTGTCGCCGGTGGTCCATCACCCGCCAGCGGGGCAGGGCGCCACGTCGCCTCCAGCAGCAGGCTCTGCGGCCACTCGGGGGGGGAGGGGGGAGAGGGACACCGGCGGGAGCAGGGGGAGGGAGGATGAGGAGGGGGAACGGGGATGATGGTGAGAGTGAATGATGCTGATGATGATGATGATGATGATGATGATGATGATGATGATGGTGATGATGAGGATGAGGATGATGATGATGGTGATGATGATGATGCTGATGATGATGCTGATGATGATGATGATGATGATGATACTGATGATAATGGTGATGTTTATGACGATGATGACGATTTTGACGGTGGTGGTGGTGATGGTGGTGGTGGTGATGATACTGCTGCTGCTGACGATGATGCTGCTGCTGATGATGTTGATGGTGATGCTGATGAGGATGATGCTGATGATGATGCTGATGCTGATAATGATGATGCTGCTGCTGATGATGCTGATGATTCTGCTGACGATGATGTGGAGGGATATTCTGATGATGGTGGTGGTGTGGTGGTGGTGATGATGATACGATGGTGCTGATGTTGATGCTGCTGCTGATGACGATGATGACGATGAGAAGGATGAGGATGCTGATGATTATCATGATGGTGAGTATAATTCTGATGCGGATGCTGATGCTGAGGAGGAGGGTGAGGTTTTTGATGAATGTGATGCTCATACTGGTGCTGATGATGCCGATTATGCTGATGTTGATGATGATGCTGCTGATGATGGTGATGATGGTGATGATGATGATGCTGATGATGATGATGACGATGTCGATGCTGATGATGATGACGATGATGATGCCGATAATGATGATGCTGCTGCTGACGATGATGATGATGATGATGATGATGATGATGATGATGACGACTATGATGATGATGATGATGATGATGATGATGATGATGATGATGATGCTGATTATGATGATGATGGTGTTGACGATGACGATGATTATGAGGAGGATGACGATGATGGTGATGCTGATGCTGACGATGATGATGCTGATGATGCTGATGATGATGCTGCTGATGATGATGATGCTGATGATGATGGTGAATTATGATGATCATGCTGAAAACTATGCTGATGGTGAATGGTGGTGATGAGTATGATGCTACTGTTGCTGTTGATGATGCTGTTGATGATGCTGCTGCTGATGATGACTCCGATTCTAGTGATGGTGCGGATGCTGCTGGTGGCGACGACGACGCTGCCATCGACGAAGTCGACGACGATGCTGATGCTGATGATGATGCTGATAGCTATGATGATGGAGGTGTTAGTGATGATGCTTATGATGACTGATGGTGGCGATGATGATGATGTTGATGATGATGATGATGCTGATGATGCTGATGCTGATGTTGTTGATGATGATGCTGGTTATGATTATACTGACGATGATGGTGACCATGATGATAAGAGGATGAGGAGAAGGAGCAGGATGATGAGGGTGGTTGATGATATTGAGGCAATACGATGACGATGGCCATGATGAGTGAATATTGTTAAGGAGGCGATGCTGCTTCTGATGATGATGCTGCTGCTGATGATGATCATGCTGATGATGATGCTGATGCTGATGATGATGCTGCTGCTGACGATGATGATGATGCTGATGATGATGATGATGAGGATGAGGAGGAGGAGGAGGTGGATGAGGAAGAGGAGCGCCAGGCTGGCCGAGTCGTGCAACCAACACGAAGGAGGTGGATGAGAAGGAAGGGGCGGAGGAGGAGGGGGAAGAGAAGGAAGAGGATTCAGAGGAGAGGGAGGGGGCGAGAAGGAACCAGAGGAGGAGGAGGAATAGGAGGACAAGGAGGAGGTGGTGGAGGAGGAGGATGGGGATGCTGCAGCCAGCCTGGATGATGGAGGAGCACGACATCATCGTTTTTTTTCTTCCCTCGTAGGGTACACGCGCGAGATGTTCAGGCAATCTAGTTCTGTTGTACAATCTAGTTGTGTTGTGCAATCTAGTTATATTGTGCAATCGTTTTGGTTTTGTGTAGTTTTTTTTTTTTTTTTCTCCCGTAGGGTGCACAACCGAGTCATATTGTGCAACCGATGTGGAGCAATAGATGCGATGCAATGTTTGTGGTGCAATATAAGTTGTGCAATCTATGTTGTGCAACCTAGGTTGTGCAATTTGCGCTACTGAAATCTATGGCGTGCAATCTATGTTGTGCAATGTGTGTGGTGCAATATATGTTGTGCGATCTCTATGGAGCAAACAATGTAGTGCAAGCTATGTGGGACAATCTATGTGGTGCAAACTATGTTGTGCAGTCTATGTGATGCAATATTTGTGGTGTGATCAAGGTGATGCGATGTGTGTGGTGCAATATATGTGGTGCGCAATCTACGTTGTGCAGTCTATGTGGAGCAATCTATTTGGTGCAGTAGATGTTGTGCAATATAAGTTGTGCAATCAACATTGTGGCGCAATCTACGTTGCAACCTCTGTGGCGTATGTGGTGCAGTCCTGGTTGCAGCAACGAGACGGCGACGCGGCGGCGACGGGGCGGCGACGGCGAGTACATAGCCGCCAGGCCGGCCACACGGCCCAGACGACGGGCGGCGACGAGGCGGCGACGGGGCGGCGACGGCGAGTACATAGCCGCCAGACGGGCCACACGGCCCAGACGACGGGCGGCGACGAGGCGGCGACGGGGCGGCGACGGCGAGTACATAGCCGCCAGAACTTTTAAGTGCAAGCACTGTTCCCCAATCAGAGCTTGCCTCTGTAGGGGTCCTAGCGGATTCATATGGTTAGGTTAGGTTTGCCGGCGATTTTCGCCGCACGCCCGGGTGCCCGGGTGCCCGGGGTTGCCCGGGTGCCCGGGTGCCCTGGTGCCTGGGTGCACGGGTGCCCGGGTGCCTGGGTGCCCGGGTGCCCGTGTGCCCAGGTGCCTGGGTGCCCAGGTGCCCGGGTGCCCAGGTGGCCTGGGTGCCCAGGTGCCTGGTAGCTCTATATAGCCCTATAGCCCTACAGCCCTGTAGCCCTATAGCCCTAATAGCCCTATAGCCTTACAGCCTTATAGCCCTATAGCCCTATAGCCCTATAGCCCTATAGCCCTATAGCTCTACAGCCCCATAACCCTATCGCCCAATAGCCCTATAGCCCTATGGCCCTATGGCCCTGTAGCCCTGTAGCCCTATAGCCCCTTAGCCTTGTAGCCCTATAGCCTAATAGCACCATAGCCCTAAAGCCCTGAAAATATTATACTTGGGTTTTCTCTCTGGTATCATTTGGGAAGCATTTCGTGGTGAGGAAGTCGCAGGCGAAACGCCCAGCCCGCTCTACCGACACGTCTTGGGGTGCGACGGGGATGAGTTGTTTATAAGGATAAGGGATGGATGATGATGTTGATGATGATGATGATGATGATGATGATGATGATGATGATGAGGATGATGATGATGATGATGATGATGATGATGATGTGATGATGATGGTGGTGGTGGTGGTGGTGGTGGTGGTGATGATGATGATGATGATGATGATGATGCTGATGATGATGATGATGATGATGATGATGATGATGTTGATGATGATGATGATGATGATGCTGATGCTGATGCTGATGCTGCTGATGATGATGATGACGAGGAGGAGGAGGAGGAGGAGGAAGAGAAGGAGGAAGAGGAGAATGAGGAGGAGGAGGAGGAGGAGGAGGAGGAGGAGGAGGAGGAGGAGGGGGAGGAGGACTTGAAACTATGTCTCTGGGCGCATCAACCTTGTTAGTCGGCCTAGGTTATTGTGTCACCATCCTGGGAAGCACGGTGGTTGCAAGCGCCCATCGTGGTTTACACCCAGGGTCAGGGCAGTAGATTGGCAAAGCGAGGGCGTGCGCTGGGGGGCTTACCAGTAAGGCCGCTGGCCTCATCCACATACCATGCCATGCCAGGAGGAGAATGAGGAGGAGGATGAGGTGGACGAGGCTTGCGCGGTCGCTGCTCCTCCTTCACATCCCCTCGTCGGAACAGCAGGCCGGCGCGAGAGCTCCCAGAATCGCTCGATCCACCGCCGTCTGGCGTGGTTGATTTTGAAGCCTCCATTGCTTCGACTGGGTGCTAGTTGGCGCCTGCAGCCAAGTGGTTCGCACCATAGTGCCACTTGGAGCCCGTGGTGAGCCAGCTGCTACAAATTGGCAGCAGCTGGTGCAACTTGGTACCCATCGACATGCCAGTGCCTGCGGTAAGTCCCGCCGCCGTGCCAGCCCAGCACTGGGTGGCGAACCTCCGAAGACCGAAGGCCGTCATGTGTGACATCGTTCGATTCCTCTTCGGAGGATTTCTCTTGGGGTCCCGTGGGCCATCTTGGGACCCTCTTGGCCTGTCCCGGGGCTCTCTTGAGCCGTCGTGGAGCCTTTTTGGCCGTCTCGGGACTCTCTTGGCCGTTGGGGGCCGTCGTCGGCCGGTGTTGGGGCCGTCTTGGGCCGTCTTGGGGCAGTGCATCCTCGTGGGCCTGCCAAGACTGCAAGGGGGTCGGTCTTCGACCAAAGGGATTAGCGCGCGAACAACAATGACTCACATAGGGCAAATCAGCGTTTTGGCTTATCGACTGCCTCATGGCGAGTGTCTTGGGGATGTCTGGGGACTTTAGAGGCTTGGTGTAACCTATTCGGTACTTCTTGGGAGCTGTTGGGTGCCCTTCGAGGCAATGTTGTGTCATATTGGCCGCCTTGGTTGCCTTCGTTGCCTGTCTCGGATGCCCTGGAGAGGTTTCGGGGGCCTCAGGGAGGCGTCAGCGCAGCCCAGGAAGTCTCGGCGGGAGGGAGTGCAGTGCACGTGGGTGGACACGTCGACAGGGATGGAAGTATAAGAAGTACAGACGCCCTGCCAGACAGTGAATCAGAGCAGGAGCGCGCGGAGGAGGTTGGGAAGGAAGGAGAGAGGGAGGGAGGAGGGAGAGAGGGGGAGAGTGAGGAGGAGGGGGAGGAGGAGGAGGAGGAGGAGGAGGAGATGGAGGAGGGGGAGGCGGAGGAGGAGGAAGAGGAGGAGGAGGAGGAGGAGGAGGAGGAGGGGGAAGAGGAGGAGGAGGAGGAGGAGGAGGAGGAGGAGGAGGAGCAGGGGCGAGGAACGCGCAGACGAAGTCGACGCTCCCCCGCCCCAGCGCCGCTGGTGTCCCTGCCGCCGCCGCTCCCGCCGCTCGTCGGCGCCCCGGCGGGGGCCGCGCCCCCGCCGCAGCAGATGGCCAGCTGGCGCTGCCGCTGCCCAGCTGGAGCCGCGAATGGGTACTCCTCCTTGCGAGTCCCTCCTTCTTTTTCTCCCTCCTTCTCTTCCGGCTCTTCTGCTCCTGCCTGCTCCTCCCTCGTCCTTCTCCTGTTCCTCCTCCTCCCTCCGTCTCATCCTCCTCCTCCTCGCGTTCCTCCTCCCTCTCCTCCTCCTCCTCCTCCTCCTCCTCCTCCTCCTTCCTTGCCCCTCCTCCTTCTCCCTCCGCCTCCTCCATGGGTATGGCGGATGATGATGAGGAGGGGGTCGTCAGAGGGATGAGGCGGAGGAGGACGAACATGTTGAGGATGGGGGATGATGAGGAGGCGGAAGGGAAGACCCACGATGATGGTGAGGACGACAGTGCGTACATATATATATATATATATGTATATATATATATATGTATATATATATAGTGATCAGGCTGACGAATGTGAGCGATGATGACGATGGTGGTGGTGGTGATGATGGCGATACTGATGATGATGATGCTGCTGATGCTGATGATGGTGATGATGCTGATGATGATGATGATGATGATGCTGATGATGATGATGATGATACGGCTGCTGCTGCTGATTATGATGATGCTAGTGGTGATGGTGCTGCTGATGATGAGGTGGATACTGATGATGCTGATGCTGCTGCTGATGATGATGCTGATGATGATGATGATGACGATGACGATGATGATGATGATGATGATGATGATGATGATGATGATGATGATGATGATGATGATGATGGCGACGTCGATGCTGCTGGTGCTGCGGATGTTGACAACACTGATTAGCACTGCTTGCGGTAGCGATGCTGATGGTGATGATGCTGCTGATGACGATGATGCTGATGATGATGATGTTGATGCTGATGCTGATGATGATGATGATGATGATGATGATGATGATGTTGATAATGATGTTGATGATGAACATGATGATGCTGCTGCTGATGATGATGCTGGTAATGATGATGCTGATGCTGGTGCTGATGATGATGCTGGTGTTGAGGGCGATGCTGACGATGCTGATGATGATTATGCTGATGAGGATGCTGAGGATCTTGCTGATGATGATGGTGATGCCAATTATGCTTCTGATGCTGCTGCTTATGCTGCCGAGGATGCTGATGATTACGATGCTGGTGGTGCTGGTGAGGGTGATGCTGACTATTCTGATGGTGCTCGGGCTGGTGATTGTGAGGATGATGAGGAGGACGGACATGATGACGAGGCCGAGCAGGCATACCGTGATGATGCTGATGATGTTGATATTGATGCTGATGGTGCTGCTGATGATGACGATGATGATGATGATGATGATGATGATGATGATGATGATGATGATGATGATGATGATGCTGACGATGATGATTATGATGGTGCTGATGGTTATGCTGCTGGTGATCGGGATGGGGATGGTCGTGATGCGGATGATGCTGATGCTGATTATACTGATGACGACGATACTGATGATGACGCTGTTGATGATACTGCTGCTGGTGATGCTGATGCTGATGCTGATGCTGATGATGATATGGCGGTGACGATGACGATGAGGATGAGATTGAGGATGAGGATGATGATGATGAGCATAACGATGCTGATTATGCTGATGCTGTTGATGATGATGCTGGTGCCGATGCTGATGATGCTGATGATGCTGATGATGTTGATATTGATGCTGATGGTGCTGCTGATGATGACGATGATGATGATGATGATGATGATGATGATGATGATGATGATGATGATGATGCTGACGATGATGATTATGATGGTGCTGATGGTGATGCTGCTGGTGATCGGGATGGGGATGGTCGTGATGCGGATGATGCTGATGCTGATTATACTGATGACGACGATACTGATGATGACGATGTTGATGATAATGCTGCTGGTGATGCTGATGCTGATGCTGATGCTGATGATGATATGGCGGTGACGATGACGATGAGGATGAGATTGAGGATGAGGATGATGATGATGATGATGATGATGAGCATAACGATGCTGATTATGCTGATGCTGTTGATGATGATGCTGGTGCCGATGCTGATGATGCTGATGATGCTGATGATGCTGATGATGATGCTGATTATGATGATGATGATGCTGATGATGCTGCCGATGACGATGATGATGATGATGATGATATGATGATGCTGATTATGATTATGACGACGATGATGATGATGATGATGATGATGATGATGATGATGGTGATGATGATGATGATGATGATGATGATGATGATGATGATGATGATGATGATGATGATGATGATGATGATGATGATATGGGGGTCTACCAACCAGGGACGACTATATAATAGGGAGGAGAAGAGGACTAGTAGGAGTGTGTAGGAGGGTGAGCATAATGAGGAGGATGAGGATGCTGATGAGAATGAGGAGGTGATGGATGAGGGGGATGCTGGTGATGAGGAGGATGCTGATTCTGATGATGCTGCTGATGCTGATGCTGATGCTGATGCTGATGATGATGATGATGATGATGATGATGATGATGATGATGATGATGATGATGATGATGATGATTATGATACTGATGATGATGATGATGATGATGATGATGATGATGATGATGATGATGATGATGATGATGATGATGATGATGATGAGGAAGCGATGCGGCTCGATGCCTTGAGAGAGCAGATCCGCAGGAAGCCTGGTGCCCGCCCCCTGCGCGCCCGAGCTCCTCGTCCTCGACGAGGCCCGCCCGCTGGCGCGGGGAGGGAAGCGGGGGAGTCAGGGCGGCGGGCACCAAGATAGACTTATGTCGGGCGTGTCCCCCTACAGGGGGATATTCGACGAAAAATAAAAAATACCCCAAACATATTCCAAAAAGGTCAGAACATATTCAAACAATAGTCCCCAGACTATTTTTTGAGCATTTTTTTGTTATTTTTGGGGTATCTTTTTATCTTTCGTCGAAAATCCCCCTGTAGGGGGACAGGCCCGACTTAAAGATAGACGGATGGAGGACGCTGCAGGAGGGGGCGCTACACGGAGGGGGGGGAGCTGCAGCGTTCGGTCGGTTCGATTCTGTCGCTGCGGCGTCTGCGCGCCCACCCAGGCTGTTTGCGGACTGTCGATCTCGGTTTCGCGGTCGTTTCTGTCAGCTCTGCCGTTTCGATGGGTCGCGGTGTCGGTTCCGATCTCGTTCGATTTCGTTCGCTGTTCGCCCTCACGAGCGGCGGTCGCGGCACCAGGCAGCGATCACGGCATTGCCAGTTTGGGGGGTCGCCTGCCGGCGGTCGTCGCGCCCCCAAGCTCCCAGGCGCTGCCTCGTGGCACCCGCGGGCCCAGGGGCACGAGCCCAGCAGTCACCGCCCACCAAACCACCCCAACCCAACCCGAAGGCCCCGACTTGCCCTCCATTTCCAGTGGGGGGGGGGGTCGGGGAACATTGAAAAAGCACATATGTAGGGCGACGATATCTATGCATATCCACTGCTCCCGGCCAGGCCAATCCTGGGACCAAGAGCTGTGTATACGCCCTCCTGGCTTGGCCAGGGAGGCATACACACCGCTCCTGGGCCCAGGATGGGCCTGGCCAGGAGCAGTGGATATGCATAGATCTCGTCGCCCTAATATGGATCCCGTACCCCCCCCAACCCGAAATTCGGGTCTTCGGGGTGGGTTGGGGTGGTCGGGTAGGCAGTCGAGCAGCAGCGGGCGCCCTGCTGCGGGCAGGGCGCCGACGCGAGGGCCGCCCGGGGCTCGGGCAGGGGCTCCTCGGGCTCTCCTCGGGCCCGCTCCGCGGCGCCGGGCCGGGGGGGAGCGCCTGGCCGCGGCCGAGGCTCGCCGTGGCCAGCGCGGTCCCCAGAGCCGCTCCTCCGCCCGGCGCACCCTGCCAGGCGCCGCGGCGGCCGCCCGCCTCAGCTTCCTTAGGCTTGGCATCGCTCGGACGTGTGCATTTATCCTTCGGCGGGGACCATCGAGGAGCATGCTGGATCATCTGGCGAAACAGCCACGCACGAAACCGAAAAAGACACAGGGAGTGGGCGTCCGAGCGATGGCCAGTAGGGGGCCACATGCGAGCCCTACCCCTACCCCCCACGATTTCGGAGGGGGTAATTAAGGGTAGGGCTCGCATGCGGCCCCCTACCTGCGCGGCAGCAGGCTTGCAGTTCCCTGCTGGTGATGTGGCCCACCGTCGTCCACGCGGCGGCGTACCAGGTGGAGCTCTTCGAGGAGGGGCGGCCCCGCGCGCTCTCCGCCTCCCCCCCCCCTGGAGTGCCCTGCAGAGGGGTGCGACGGCGCTCCTGCCCGCTCCTCCCCCGCTCCTCGAGGCACGCCCCGGCATCCCCACTGCCCCTTCTCCTCGCCCCTGGCTCCCCCCCTCCACCCCCTCCCCCTTCAGGGTCCCTGCCTTCCTTCCGTCCCCCCGTCCTTCTCCCTCCCCTCCCCTCCCCCCCCTTTCCTCTCCTTCTTCCCCTCGCTCCTCTTTTTCTCTTCTCCTCCCGCCCTCCCCTCCCCTCTGCCATCTCTCCCTCCCCGCTCCTCGCCATCTCGCCTCCTCTCCGATCGCTCAGAGGGGGGATCTTGGACATCCTGCGCGGTGAGCGGCACGAGCCGACTGGCCCTCCAGCGTGCCTCGCCACGGTGGTCCCGGCATCCGGCACCCGAGGCCGTCCTGCCACGGCCGCGGTCGGCAAATCCGACGCGCGGGGACCTGCTGCTTCCTAAGCCTCAAAGGGGGTGGCCCCGCATCCGAGAGGCTTCGGATGATGGCAACGGCCACTGGCTGGAGTCCGAAGGTGCTTCGGCCGAGTTGCTTGGTCTGCCATGGTCCCGGATGGCATGTAGTCCAGGCGGCCGCGTCGGCAGACCGTGCACAGCTGGTTGCTCATGCAGGTGGTCGCGGACAACTTGTGAGGGGCCAGATCAGGGCCTCCTGGCTGGCCCAGTCTCTGCTTGCTCCCCTCCCCAGCTGATGGCCATCATTCCCCCCTCCACATCGCGACCTCCTCTCCCTCGACCACCTCCACCTCCTCCTTCGAAACAGACCGAACTGCATAAACATGAACTTTTGGAGCTCCGCGCGGATTTCTTGGATCGGCGCCTGGGACGGAGATCGCCAGGGGCGGCGCCCGAGGCGCCGCCAGGGGGTCCCAGGCGCCGATGCAAGAAGTCCGCGCGGAGCTCCCAACGTTTACGTTTACATGTCGTTTTTCGGTTCCTCTACTCCTGAACCCCTGGTTTCAATCCTGCGCCTCGGCCATCTCCTCTTTCTCCACCTCCACATCCTCCTCCACCTCGCGAGCTTGGCCCGAGAGGCCTGCTCGGACCTCGAGGCGGTCCGCCGCGAGGCAGACGTCGCGAAGGCGACGCTCAGAAGTGTCGTACTGGCACGCCCTGGAGGAGGAGGAGGAGGAGGAGGAGGAGGAGGAGGAGGAGGAGGAGGAGGAGGAGGAGGAGGAGGAGGAGGAGGAGGAGGAGGAGGAGGAGCAGGAGGAGTCTCTGACTCCCGGAAGCTAACTGGGCTGAACTTACTGCTCCTCCTCCTCCTCCTTCTCCTCCTCCATCTCCTCGACGACCCTCCCCGCTCCTGCTTCCTGCTTGACCTCGACCACCTCTCCTCGACCTCCTCCTCAGGAAGCCCAAGCCCAGACCCCCTTGGCAGGAGCGCCAGTCCGCGGCGGAGCGGTTCCAGCGCGCCGTGCCGGAGGGCATTGCCGAGGCTCTCTCTTTCTCTCTCTCCCTCTCGTCAGATGCTGCGGTTTTGCGCGGGGGTTGACCGAGCCTCCACCGTGCCAGGCCGGCTCGCGAACCCACCCGCGGGGCCCCTCCCCTGGCTTCTCGAGGGGGCGCTGCGGGCACCGCTTCGGCGGGCCCGCGTCCGAGGGATCTGGCCCCCGGGCCGTTCTCACTCGAGGCTGTTCTGCTGAAGGATTTCAGGCCAGCCACAACTGGGGGAGCTGTGGTCCTTACCCCCCTGGGGGAACCATCGATTTCGACACCCCTCTCGAGAGATCGTCGATGCGATGGGTTCCCCCAGGGGGGTAAGGACCAAAGCTCCCCCAGTTATGGCTGGTCGGGGTTTGTTCGTCTGCACTGGCTGCGTTGTGAATGTGAGCCTGCTCCCAGGCATATCCTCGGAGGCCCAGAGAATGGCATCAGCACCAATGTCGGCGGTGTGCCTCCACCGAGGGAAGGAGATTCCGATCTCGGTGATGGTGTTGATAGTCTGGCTTCCAAGGTGACCGAACTGTTGCCACCAGCACCGAAATCTAGGATCATCTTCCCCTGTGGAGGCAGCCCCCTGTGTGCTGGTGTTGGTGCCCATTTCCAGGCCTCCAACATCCGAAAGGTCTACTCGGTCTGAGGGCTCTGCAGCCGTCCCGCGGCCGTCCTTCTCCTCGCCCCTCGCCCGCCTGCGCCCCGTGCCTCGACTCGCAGCGGAGGCGTCCCGCCGCTTGCGCGACCGCCTGTTGGGCCCAGCACCTGCAGACCCGAGCAGTGCTCGCTGAAGCTGGTCGTTTTCCTATTCGCTGCTGTGCCGAGCGGCGCGGGCCCTCCCCCCCCCCTTTCCCCCCCGTGGAGGAGTAGATTGGGGGGCCACGTGCGAACCCTACCCCTACCCCCCCCTCAGAAATCGTGGGGGGTAGGGGTAGGGTTCACACGTGGCCCCCTATAGATCTTGACTCTTTTTGGCGCCCGTCTCAAACAGGCGGAGCCTTCCCCACAGGACGCACTGTCGCAGACGGTCGCCTGGAGCAGAGGTCTGGAGCCAGACCTCCCCCCTGCCCTTCCGCCAGATGTCGAAACGCCGAGTACGAAGACGTTCGCAAGGGGATCCTGTCCACCCCTGATGTACAGGAGGAGCGCAGAGGGATGTGCGCCGGCTCGCCGTGGAGACGGGGGTCCTGGAGGGAAGGGGCCCTGGAGATTTTGTCGCTGCCTTCGGGCTCCTCGAGCCCTTCCCGGGCCACGGGGACGTCGAACAACGCGTCGGGATGAAAACCCGGGCCCGAGGAAAGCTCCGGGCTCCTGTGCTCCGGAGTGGGATGATGGGGTACGGCTACAGTGCTGTTTTTAATGCATGCTCCGCGTGCGGATCATGTATTAAACATGCAGGGGTTTATATCAAAAACAACGATGAGTTCATGCATCAATTTATTCATAATTCATCATGTATTAAAAATCCTGTATTTTCAAAAATCATATGTATTAAACACTGCCCTGTTTCTCACATGATGCCCCCCCCAGGGCGCGAGCCCACGT